TTCAAGGTACATGCATCCTATTAATTCCAGACTTTGACAAGGTTTTATGTTGCTGACTGGAGTGGGTTAGATCCATATTTTGTCACCTAGGTCGTCTTGATTTCTGTGGATCTGTTCCCACTAAAGTCAAGGGAACAAATGAGTCACAACTCACTCAGAACATGACTAAATTTGAATCCAATCTTTTTTTTTCAACAAAGCAGTATTTTTATGATGTGACATGTCGGATATATCTTAATATATTTCATCTCACAGTTACAGCATGTGTGGGCTGTGCCCTGAAGAGTGACCCAAAACTATTCTAACCACATACAGTATATACATAATGTATTTTTCGCTCCATAAGAGGCACCTTTCCATAAGACACACCAATTTTTTAGGAGAAGAAAACATAAGACGCACAGACTTTCCACCCCCCTGTTTTGTGGGGGGAAAGTGCGTCTTATGGTGCGAAAAATACGGTAGCTTTAGAATTGTAACCTTAGGCAATTGTTGCTTCATGGAAAAAAGTTTATTAAAATAACCGTTCAAAAGTTTTTTAATGCTTTGAAGACTCTGTATCATTTTACATTGCACAAATGAAGACATTCTGCAGCCAGTTCCAGGTATTTACAATTTAGGGGAGCAAAACATGGGCTGCAAACGTGAGTAAGATGGTTATTAAGCTACTAAAAGCACCAGTGCATTTGGCATAGTAAAGAGAACAGAGAACAAATCCAACAAATATTTTTACCTACATACACATATATATGCACACAGACATGCACACAGTGAGTAAATATAAGATTTAGTTCTGTGATGTTAAAGTTAGTGCCAATTTCAGATTCATATGCAAGTCTACGCACATCTACAATATGAACTTTTTTCATTTCTTACTCCCATGTCATTTTAGTGGATAAAAGAGTTTCTTTTAACAGAACACTTTATTGACAGTTTTGTTAGGAAGTGTGTAGCTATTCTAACAGTATTTCCAGTCAACTATTGTTGGATATATAGGTAGAGGTTTGTTTACATGTCAGAATTGAAATTTTGTTTTGCATGTTTGTTGGCATATTCTTGTTAGGATTTTAACAGATTCAGTCTCTGTGGTTTGAAATAGTTTTATCAGTATTTCATTTGTGTGTGATGATCTATTTCTTCCTAGTGCTTTCAGAGCAGATTTCACTTCACTTTCTAGAACTTCAGGTTCTTTATCATAGGGTCCATCTTCAAAAGAGTCTGTCATCCTTTTATGTCTTCTGTATAGTTCTTCAGCATATTGTTTCCACCTTCCCTTTATTTTCTCCTGGTCAGATAGTGTGTTTCCCTGTTGGCCATTCAGCATTCCTAATCTGGGAATGATTTCTTGGATGTTCTGGAAGTGATACCTTGTTCTTTGCCTTTTGTAGAATTAGGCAGGTACAAAAGACTGCTCTCACATAGCATTCTTCACAGAACTTTTAAAAGGTTTTTAAAAAATAACATTTATTCATAACAAAAATACCGTACTTAAAGTTTTCAATGCCTCTTAATAGATTTTCATGAATTTTATTATTTTATTATTGCTTCTTTTGAAAGATGGTGGTGACTCATCCCATCTGCACTGTTGTAATAATATGCATCTTCTAGTCTTATTGATTTCTCTATCTGACATGTAGAAGGGGTGACATCTTGTCTTCTGCTTTAGACAATCAAATGTCAGGTTGGCTCCGAGCAGGTTCTCCTGTTTTCTGAACTCCAGCAATTGATAACTGGAGAGAGGTTTTTGCTACCAGGACAACGTACACTTTGTGTAGTCACCTAATGCTGGTTCTTGCAGCCTTTCTAGTGCCATGTAAATGCCTTCTTAATTTCCTATTTGCTTTGATTGTCCTGTATACACATAACTCAGTAGATCTCTTTGTAGCCCAAACACCTCCATTTACACAAATCAGGAAGATGGAAGTAGGCTGGAGTAAAGCTTGGGCTTTAGGGAATAAAGAAAAATCCTTAAGGAAAACCTTCTAAGGCATGAAGGCAGAACAGTAAGGAACAAGCTTCCCAAGTATTGGGAAGGGGCAGGGAAAGGGGGGATATTTTTTCTGGGGGGGAGATGTGGTGGGTAAGAGACCTTAGTAGTCCTTATCCACAAGTATGCACAATCAGTATCTAATGCTGGTCTCCCTACATTTTTAATACCCCTCCCTATAGGGTTATTGCCTGGTCTGGCACCATATAGATTCCTTAGGAACTTCCTACTTACTATTATATAACATTTATCCATTTCAGTATTATGTTCTAATATTTTGAGTTTATAATTTGGGTGATACAGCATTGCATAAGATGCTTGTTTGGGTTCTGTGATGAGTGTCACTTTTATGTAATTTTTGATGCTGCAAGCAACTTGTAATTCTTATTAATTTTCAGATCACGGCAAAACAGTGTAGTCTAGACAAAATCTTCTGGCACCCAAGGTCATATTGTTTTTTTTTTTAAACGTATCTGTCCTTTTTCAATCTCCTTGCTTATTCTTTTCTAAATAATAAGTATGTCAGATTTCTGCTTATTTCTGTCAAGTATCATTTTGTTTCTTATTGTAGAGTCTTTGAGAAGGTTGTCTATTTTTTAATAAAACAAAATAAAACTCTCTTATGTTTTCTATTAAAGAAAGTATGTTCTTCTAAATTTTTGACAACGTAGATGTTCCTAATTCTTAGTCTGTTTTCTTGAGAAATACATTTATTAGCCCTGTGAACTGGAACTTGGGTAAGAATAATTTATCAGTGGCCAATGAATCAAAATAGTGTAAGGCCATAGGAAATAATACTTGATTTGGAAGTGATCAATTTGGTTACAGTTGGATTTTTTTTTGGAGAGGTGTGTATGCATTCATTAAATATTTAGTTTAGTTTAGTTCCTGACCTTGGGTCTCCAGATGTTCCTGGACTAAAACTTCCAGAAGCTTTCACCATTAGTTGTGTTGGCTGGGATTCTTGGGAGTTGTAGTCCAAGAACATCTGGGAATTTCAGGTTGGGAACCACTGGTTTAGATGATGTTTTTTTAGTCAGTCTTGGTCATGTTCTTAGCTGAAAATTCATCTGATGAGAAACTGTTTGATCATTACAACTCCTAGAATCTATGTAACAAGCTTTCTGTGCCATCTTGTGCCTGTGGTTGTCAAATGTTTTTTGTTTCTGATTTACTATGGGTACAATATCCTGTATTTACTATGGGTACAATAAGATTCTGAAGGAGTACCATATTTGTACCAGAAACCAGGGATGGAGAATCTATACTCCTCAATATGTTGTTGAATTGCAGTTCATGTCAATTTAGTCAGCAGTATAGCCCAACAATAACTTGAGGGCCACACCCTACCCACTCCTGTTGATATACTATGTAGATGATGGAGCACTGATTCAAAGTTCTGTGCAAATAAGTTTGCCATGCTCATAGTTAGTTACTTCCCAAGTCACCGGAAGGAAATTCCCAATGTTCATAGGGAACTGGTATGTTGTGGAAATTGTGTTCTGCTACTGCATGTGACGAAAGTTCCTAAAATCGTGCAGGTTATACACAAAATTTCATATGTGGGGAAATTAGATAGGGAGAAATTTGGCTCCCTCTTTTATATTACTGAAGCTGAATGATAGGAAATCCAGGGCAGATCTAGCAGATAGATGATTTATGGAATTCACTGACACAAGATGTAATAATGGCCACCTACTTTGATGGGCTTAAAGGGGATTAGATAGATTCATGGAGGCTAGGGTCAAGAGTCAGAAAAGTTGTATGGGTCCTGTAATGTCAGAGGTACTACAGTATGCCTCTGAATATCAGTTGCTAAAGACCATCAGATAGAAGGTTTAGTTCTACTTACATCCAGCTGGTGAGTTCAGGTTAGAAAATAGACTGGCTACTTGGTGAACAGAATGTTGGACTGGATGCATCTTTTTTTGTCTGGTTACAGCTGTGGCTCTTATGTTCATACTGTAGCACTATTCATTTGTTCTGCATTTGCTGGGATGATTTCTACTAGTGGCTCTTTCTCCCTTCTAAATTTGAAGAATTACTAGTCCCATTCATTTGATAATCTGGTCCTAAATTGAACTCTAGGGTTTGATCACAGGACTCTGTGAGGCTGCTATTCCTTTGTAATATATTTCTTTCAAGAGCACACACTGAACTGTTATGTTGGGATGTTCCATAGAACATCCAAACTTTTAGCCAATTAGATGTTATTAGGAAATTCTGCTGTGCTACATGTTTTCATATTTCTGACTCTTTACTCATCCAGCTGTCACGCTAGAGGGCAGCATGCCCTTGCTATTAGCTCCACAGACCCATCCATTTGTTTGAAATCCATCTTCAGTTTTCCAGTAACATTATCTTTTTTTTTTCAGGGAGGGAGAGGAAAGAAAAGATAAGATACATTTTAGGAAACGCTGGTTTCTTTTTCTTAAGTGTGTGTGTTAGGTGTCTTCAAGTGGGAACACACTTCAGTAACAAATTACTTGCAAATGCTCGTTGTTGATAAGGATCTCTGTGGCAAGCATGACCCAATTGAAGTGTTTTTAAAAAATCCACTTTTTTCTTGTTTAGCAAAAAAAGAGCTTTCAAAATTAGAGAACTGAATCACTTTTGTGTTGCATCTTCTTTCCCCTAGCCCCTTTGGACACCAAGGCTGTGCCCAAGGATGTGTGTATATGATATTAAATACCTTAAATAAAAGTGTTGTGTGAACCCATCCATTTATATATACGTGTTTTGCATTGTTCCTGTTAAAAGCATTTGCCTGCTTTTCTGGGGTTTTGCTAGTTTCATTTATTTGTAAAAGTATTTGGGCTAATATTTTAATACCTTGAAAGCAAATGAAAGATATTTCTGGTAGAAGAAATCTTTATGTATGAAGTTAATGAAATGTTGCAAATGATTAAAATATTCTACCACAGTGTGCCCCCATGGGTACCAAGTGTGTTTTCACTAAAATTGGCAGTGTTCTCAATTGTGTAAATAAAAGCAACATTTATTGTTTCCTCAGGCACCACCTTCCATGGTCAATAACGAACAACGTCAGCATGCTGAACACATATTCTTATCATTTCGAAAATCAAAATCACCATTTGCTGTTTGCAAGCATATTTTAGGTAGGTTTTAATGTGTATATTCTGTTACTAGATGTCACACTTAGAGAATCACTTAAAGTAAGTGAAGCAGTCCATTACGGCACATTAATGCCTCCTTGCTATGTACATGTGTGAAGATCTGCTATTTGGCATCCCAGATGAAAAGGGTTTTCCCTCCCTCTAAGGCTGGGATCTTATGTGCACTTGCATGTGTGTTTATGTACCTTCACGTTAGAACTGACTTATATCAACTCTAATAGGAGTTGCACAATTTTTTTTTGTTTATGCAAACGTCTAATTTTTATTCTCTTTGACAGAAACTAGTAAAGTTGATTACGTCCTTTTTCAAGCCGCCACAGCGATAATGGAAGCAGTTGTACGTGAATGGATTTTATTGGAAAAAAGTAGCATTGAATCACTAAGAACATTCCTTTTAACGTATGTCTTACAAAGGCCAAAGTAAGTACTGTTTAAATGAGTATAAGAGTGCCTCCCTAAGGTTTCTGTAAGTGTTTTAGCCATTCCTATTAGATGAAGCTTATTTTGTGAACAATGGCTTCTATTTTCATGATAAAGAGACTGTAGCTCAGGGACAGGCCATGTGCTTTGTATTTTTAAAATCCTGGGTTCTTTCCCTGGAATCGCCAGATAAAAACATTGGTAGCAGGTGAGGCAAAAGACTCTCTAGCCAAGAAAGCACTGCCAGTCAAAACGAATAATATTTGGGTAGATCAGAGGTTTTTTGTTATTAAGTGGTATCAAATCATATTTGAATTACAGCAAACCTTACTGGGTTTTCAAGGTAATGAAATATATTTAAAATGTAGCTTCATGAGTACCCCCCAGTAAATATCCATGGCTTAGCAGAGATTTGAACCCAGATTTTCTGGGTACTAATACATCATTGTTTTGACTACACTACCCTGACTGTGAGGATCAGAGTTACTTGGCTTCATTAATCATGTCTGTCCACCAAAAGGAGGGAGAGGGAGAGAGAGAGATCAGCAGTGAAGCTACCAAGTTTAAATTATTGCTTATCAATACAAAGAAATGATTGGAAATTGTAAAAATGTGGTCAGTGGTGTGACCTCTGCGATACAGCAAGACAGACCACCAGATAGTCCAGTGGTATAATGCTGCCTCTTATATTTCTATATTTATGTGTAACTATTTCTTTTTACTGTGAACAGCGGCTTGAAATTCTGTCGAAGCTCAGGTCACCCTATGGAATAGGGAGATGACCCGGGCTGTTGACACGATTGCGCCTAAGTGCCCTCTCCCTGCTTGCCGAGCCCAGACAGCTCCTTGGTATACTTCTGAACTGCGGGCGATGAAGCGAGAGGGGAGACGGCTGGAGCGCAAGTCGAAGTCCCGCTGGGAATCCGATCGAACACAACTTAGAGCCCATTATCGGGCCTATTTCGTGGCAATACGGCTGGCGAAACGGCAATATTTCTCCAACCGCATTGCTTCCTCAGAATGTTGTCCAGCAGAGCTGTTTCGGGTGGTCCGGGATCTTCTTCAACCGGGAAATCTGGTGGAGGTCCCGGACTGCTCATCAGCTCGCTGTGATGAGTTTGCTACTCATTTTGAGGAAAAAATCGCTCAGATTCACAGTTACTGCAAAATCGGAAGATGTGTCCAGTGTGCCGTGCTTAGGTCAAACTTTAATGGATGAGTTTCAATTGTTGAGACCCGAGGATGTGGACAGGGTGCTTGGATCTGTCTGTTCTACCACCACGCTGCTCGACCCTTGCCCATCTTGGCTAATTGGAAGATCTGCCAGGGGGGTTCACACTTGGGTCCAGGA